GCTTGCTTTGTGGTAGTAGGGAGGGACTTTAATTGGACAGAGGTCTGGGATCTGGACTTCTGAAAATATATTCCTGGTTTTGCCACTGACAAGTTGCAGGACCTTGGGCAAGTCACTTCAGAATTCTGCCTCAGTTTTCCCATCTGTGAAATGGGGGTAAACTTACCTACCTCACTGGATGTTGTGAGGCTAAATTCACTAGTATTAGCATACTAAGAGCTTTGAGTTCCTGAGAAGGAAGGTGCTAAGTGCAAAGCACAGTATAATTGAGGAGAGTTTTCCATTTGAATATCCTCTTGATATCTTGATGGTATTGATCTCCATAGTGTAATTCCCATTTAGAACAATTTATCTATTTGATTGTGCAAGCCAAGTATTTCATTGTACCTAAATTTAACTCAGTCTTAGCATACTGTTAAGAGTCCTTGACAGCATTGGAAAATCCACTTGAGTTAAGCAAAGTTTTCAGAAGCCACTGTGATGATTTCCCCCACCTTAAGAGGTATCAAGCTGAAGAATCTGTTTCACAAAGGTCTCTTCTCTTCTGAACAAGTGTCCCAGTAAACCATCTGAAATAACCGTTTTTTTTTTTTTACTCTGCCTCCCACTTAAAGTAGAACAGTGACTTTCGACAAAGATTTTTATTACGTGTTGGTACATGCCCTGTACAAAATAACCATGACTAGATATATGCAATGAAGTGGCACTTTCCTGCTGCTCTTAATCTGATAGCTGACGTGGTATTGCATGCACCATTTTGCACACTTACAGAAAACACTGAGATATTTAGCCACTGTAGATAAAGTCAAAATATGTACCAGGGACTTTGTTCTTTTTTAGAACGCTCTGGTTTTAAGTCCAGTTTACATGCAGTCCTGCTTTTGTGCAGAACCTGTCTATTTGAGGACATACCTTCAACTGTAAAATACTGTTTCTGTGTTAAAGTGTTTGCGTTCAGTTCAGTCAATGCAAGATCAAGTATAAGAATCAATACACCAAAGAAACAAACGTGTAGCCTTCTTGCATTTAATATATTTGAAGAATTAGTTATCTTCATATCTCCAGCCTTCTGTCCCTGTAACATTCTGCCTTTAATTCCCATTTACATTGTATCTAGTATAGCTTATGACAGCCTATTTATATCGATAATTTTAGCTGGATTAAAAAAAAAAAGTTGCTTTTAGTCCTAATAAACTCATGCACTTCTCCAGTTAAAATAAACAACTTTCTGCTTTCCTTGTTACTTAGGTTTTCATCTCAAATATAAGTAATTCAGTATTTACTGAATATATATTCAGTATTTTCATTATTTTTTCCATATAACTCTCCTTTCTAAGTGAGTATTAAGTACAAATAGCTGTATATAGCAGAGGCAGTGAAGAAAGCTTGCTTTATCAGCCATACCCTAAGATTCTTCAGAGCGTTATCACCAACCCTGAAGTGACTGCTGCTGCAGGTTCCATAGTGGTGTTAGTCATCAGTATATTGAGGTAAGCCAAAGGGATGACCTACAGAAGATGGGAGTCCAGTCCACTATACCAGTCAGACAGGATGCAATTATTCAATTGTCTTTTAATCTATGGTCCAGACTACACAATCTGCCTACACTTTTTTCCTCCAGAAGAACTGAAGCTGGTCCCTAGCTAGGAACAAAAGCGAAGCCCTACCTCCAAGTGAAATAAGTGACATAAGAAGAGTTATAATGCTTAGCAAGACCCATGAATGTTCAGAGATCCAAAATACCTGCTTGTCCCAGGCTGTCATGAATTTATGGAATACAGAAGTCATCAGGATCACCAGTGTCTCAACCGGGATACAGAACACTGCCATGAGATCAACTCAGTACGTGCCCATGTGAGGTCGTCTCATGCAGGCAGTCCGAGGCATCCTATATCCATGTCAGCTTCAACTTTGCTACTTGCATCATGAGGAGGCAGGCCATAGATACTGCCATTCTAAATCAGGAGGCATCTTGTTAAACATTTTAGAAGTCAAGAATTCTTTACTCTTTCAACTTCTGCTCTCAAAAACAAGCAGGCATATTGTTCATTAGAGTCTCCCAAGGTGGTTTCTATGTTAAATTCTGTATGTTCTTGTTAAAATTCTTGTTGAGATAGGAAACGTCAAGGCCACTGTTGTTGTACTAACAGGACTTCTATACTGTTTAACTAGTCGGATCAAAGGTTAACTTCTCCCTGTCATAGGTACAGCCTTTTTTTCCTGTTGTCAGGTTTTTGTATGTTTAGGAACATTTAAAGGTCAGCTTATGCTTCTAAGAATAAGTGCTTATACCCTGGTTTTGATAGGCCTCAACTTCTATTTAGTTAAATTTTTAGCCCCAGCACCATACTGCCACCAAAATCTATAAACAAATCTGCACTGAATTGCTTCATGCTTTTTGAAACTGATTAACATCTCCTTGGTTTGTACAAACTGAATCAAACTAGTACAATATCCCTTACAACTGCACGTTCAGGAGGCAGGAATCAAGTTGACGGAGTATCTGCTGCATCCTATTACAATCTTAATTATGAGTCAGGATCTCTCCCTACATTATCGAATATGTATAACCTGATTTCCCCAGAAAATCAGTATTAAACAGAAGTGTAGAGTTTGTCAGCCAAATCCCTATACTTTTCTAGTAAGATCCCCAAAGAAGGTCCACAGAATAGGAACACTGTATGAGAGATGCCAGTGTTATCTTACAACAGCTGGCTGTAAATTGAAGCATGAAGAAACCATTGTCTTCCACAGGAACCTGTGGAGACTGATACATAGTGTATCTGGACAAAAGAAATTCAGTATTTCTATACTGAAAAAAAAATAAAAGACAACCTTTAGAGGGTGTTTACACTCATTTCTTTCTGTGGTAAGAACAGCAATGAAATACAAGCATGGACTACATTTAAAAAGTTTTGTTGAGAATCTGAGAAATTCGTGGTTTATGTCTGAAAGTCAGTGTTATGACTACTGTCATTTTTTCATATAAAAAAGTATAAAATATATGTAAGTATGTATGTGGCTCTAAAAAAAAAAACCAGCTCACAGCCCTGGAGACTTATGTTGGTCCCTCCTAAAGGAGGATAAATGAAAGCATTCTCCACAGTTCGTATTCCCTTTCACAATACTAGAAAAAGCTGACGTTAGGACCAGATTTTAGTAAACAAACACAATCTTGCTCAGAAACAGGAACCTCTAAAACAGTGATTTTTATCTTTGCACTTTTATCTAGTATTGAAGAGGTCCCATCCCCTCTAAGATCAGAGTTGTATTTTGTCAGCTGAATGCTGCTAACAAATGAAATGCTGTTTGAGCAGCAATAATGCTCCAGCCAGAATGTCTTGCATTTGGTGGCTGAACCAAGTGCATTGTTAGACTAATTGTACTGTCTCCAAAATGCTGGCACACACGTTTCAGGTTGCACTCATTTAACACAATGAAACTACTCTCAGGTGAAAGCATCTGCAGAAGCAGGACCTTCTATGCTAGAGCAAACCTTGAAACAAAGACAGGGCGTATGGGGAAATGCACAGTAGGAGAATGGTGCCCTGCCAGCAATGAGATACTGAGCCAATAACCAAGATGAGGATGAAGGATGTGCTGTCTTGGTGCTGCAGAATGCAATTAAGCAAATCACATTTTTAAGCAAGCATTTTCTTTGCTGTTTGCAGACACGCCAAGTTGTGTTTACAGCAGGCTGCACTTCACTTGGTGGTTAGGAAAGCTGTACGCAGAGGACACAAGAGCAGAGGGCTGGCTGGGTTTCTGGAACCATCGCGACCTAAGTTGCAGCACAGGTCTCTCCATCAACTGCACGTGAGAAGAAGGAAGTTGGAAAAGCCAGGTTTGGTTCACTCCTGCACTTCAGCTCGTGTAGACACCTGCAAGCGCACAAAGCTGGTTTAAATGTTACCTGAGCAGATGACAACACTTGTAGTAGTGTGAGATCACTAGTTGCCTGGTACCACCGTTAGGAGCCTTGTTTTTTTTCTAAAAATTGTTGAGTAAAGAATGAATCTGTCTTCCTGCCAGCCCACAAGGAAAGATGAGGTTCATCTCATTCATATTACACAATCCAATTTTGTAACATCTGGGTTTCCAAGGCGTGCTATTAGCAACATTTAAGCCTGCTCCCCACGGGAACTCACGAAGCACCGTCTTCCAGGTGCCCCAAGATGTGCCAGAACCACTTCTGTACCCTACGTTCGGGGACCAGCTTTCTCCCCCCGCGGCGACCGGCTCTCTGGCCCCCCACACCCACGCTGCGAGGGAGGACAGGCGCCTTCCCGCACGGCGGCTC